TGGATGTAGAGATGTTTAACAGGATATTATTTAATAAATAAAGAATGTTCAAAATGTGGAAATAAATGTATAACATGTTTAAATGAGAAAGAATGTAATAAATGTGAAGATGAATATATAATAATAAATAAAGAATGTATTCATTATTCAAATATTAATAAATGTAAAGAAACAAAAAATAATAAATGTTCAAAATGTTCATTTTGGTATGGAATCAATGAAGAAGGAACAAAATGTAATAAAGAAATTGTATGGTGGATGATAATGATAATTATCATCATTATACTTATTATCATCATTATAATAATTATAATTATAATTATAATGATTAATTACATTATAAAACTCAAAGAAAAGAAAGAACAAGAGAAAACAACAACAATATTTAAAATTTCACAATCAAATATCAAATTCATATCACTTGGAGATGGAATAATAACAAATAAAAAAGAAATAGAAATAGGAGAAGGAGAAGAAATTGAAGTAAATAAAGAAATTAGAGAATTAATATGTATTGGAAATGAAAAGAAAGAAAAAAAGAAAATACAAATAAGTAGAAAGAAGAAAATGAAACATATTCAATTAGAACAAAACCAAATATTATTACAATTGAAGGAGGATATGCATGTGAATTTGAAATATTCATTACAATCAAATGTACTACTAAAATTAAAGAACAAATAATGATAATTAGTAAAACACTTAATAAAACACAAGAAGAAATAATTAAAAGTATTTCAATTAAAGGAGAAACACAAATATCAACACGACTTGATCCAGATGAAATAAAAGAAGAAAATAAAATAGGAGAAGGAACATTTGGAATTGTATATATAGGAGAATTTAGAGGGAATCAAGTAGCAATTAAGAAAATGAAACAAATTGATAAAGATGAAGATAAAATGAAAGAATTTGAGAAAGAAGTAATAATGATAAAATTAGAAGTGAATATATTATTCATTTTTATGGAGCAGTATTTATTCCTAATAAAATATGTATGATAACAGAATATGCAAAATATGGATCAATACAAGATTTAATTAATAAAAGAACAAACACCGAAATACCAAATAAAATAAGAATTAAATTCATGATAGAATAAACAAAAGGAATTTCATATCTTCATTCAAATGGAATACTACATCGAGATATTAAACCAGATAATTTTCTTGTTGTATCAATTGATGATAATATTGGAATTAATTGTAAATTAACAGATTTTGGAAGTTCAAGAACGTTAATATGATAATAACAAATATGACATTCACAAAAATGATATAAACATTAAAATATAATACACATAAAATATTAAATAATTAACATTATAAAATAACATTATATATATTCATATTCAAATAATGTTACAAATCACTTAGATTCTTCTTTGATTATAAGTTATGTTTGTAAATTATTTTATTATATTTAGAATATTTCTTTCATATATTGTTCTATTTGTTTAATATTTATTTTGTTTAATTTAACATACTGAGTATTGTATTTCTTTCGATTATTACTTGGTTTTTAGTTGTAAGTTCATTGGTGATATAGCTGATCACTTTCATTCCAATTTCTCTGATTTCTGTTGAATTGATAACTTTCTTTTCTCTGCTTTGATAAATCCATGAATTTGGACCTATCCCATTCACACTTTCATTCTCTACATTAACATAAATCCCTTCATTAAATAAGAAATCTTCAAGTAAATGCATTGTTTCCATCCTTCTTCTCGATCTTTCTCTCCTTCTGATTGTTTTCACAATCGCTCTCTTATTTTTATGTATTTCAAAATATTCTTTTCCTCTTCTTTTGATAAATTTAGGTATATCTAAACTTTCTCCATTTCTTTCAATTCTTTTAATTCTAATAAATGGGACAGTCATTGTCGACTTCTTACTTGGTCTTGTTACAATAATTGAATAGTAATTTGAAAGAAAATAAATAATTGTTCCTTCAAGTAGAGATTCATTGTTTAATGTCTTAATATGTGATAAATATGTTTTATTTATTTTCTTTGACATCCTTATTTATGTTGTGTTTGTTTTTTTCTATCGATCTTAAAAACTATTTTAGAACTTCCTATTTTGTACCTCTTTTTCTTCCTTTTGTTTTTATTTCTTATTATTTTTCTGTCCTTTCCAATGACATATTCATTTCTCATTTTTTATTTTTTATTTTTATTTTTATTTTAATGATTCTTATGGATAAATACTTCTCATTCATCTCTTAACATTCAACATTTTGTTTTATTTAATCTCTTTTCAGTTGTTTATTATCATTCTTGTATTAATTTATACTCTCTTTATACTGAATTAGTTGTTTATTTCTATTTGTTTCTTCTTTCTTTTTATAAATGATTATTCATTTCTTATTTTATTCTTATTCAGTGTTGTATTGTTTTATACATATATCTAAAACAATGTGTTTTTGTTGTAGTTCTTGTTTAACTTCTTGTTTATAAGTTGTATTTCACAAAATGAAAACACTCTATTAAATACATTATCCATGTTATTATTCCTCTCTTATTCAATTAGTTATTGTACTGATTATACTCCAATATACAATTTGTGTTATCTTTTTTCTTATTCCTTAAAATTCTGTATTCTGAATCTTATTCATCTCAACACACATGATTTAAACATTATTTTATCTGAGAACACTTTATTTATATTGTTTGGTAATATTATGAAGATGTAAATATTATGATAAGTACTATAGTTAAAGTATTTCATTGTTTATTGTATTCAAAATTGATAGATTTGGAAAATAAGTATTATTCTAATGTGATTCAATAAATATGATATTCTCATTTAAAATATTTTCATTTATATTAAAACAGGTATTATAAATGAGATATTTCAAATGAAAATAATAAATTAATGATAATAAGTATTAATTTTATATTTAATAACAAATAACAATGAAATAAAAGTATAAGAATAATTAATATTATTATAAATCAATTCAATTGTTATAATTCTATTATTAAATATTATTTTAATTTAAATAAATTGAAAATATAAAGAATGAATAATAATTCAATATAATAATAACATAAATAATTATTTATATTATTTATTACATTTTAATATGTTAAATTTACTTTATTTGATTATTCTACTTTTAATATACATTATTTTATTACTTTAAATGTAATATTATTAATAAACTATAAGTAATAATTTAGTAAATACATTATTAATTTGTATTGAAATCTTATTAATTTATATTCAAACATGTTATTATAAGTTATTATATTAGTTTATATTTTTCATTATGATTATTTGTTTACATTTTATTAAGAAATATATCTTCTTATTTTATCAATTTAATACAAATAATAATAAAATTAAAATTTAATCAATTAATCAAATTTGATGTTCATTTAGAATTAATATTATCATAAATCCGATTGAATACAATTAAATAACTTTTTATTTTAATTTATTATGAATATTTATTTATCATATTCAACTTTGAAATATAAATAACAATTGAATTAATTTATCAGATCATATCAATATGATAATTTTTCTTCAATGTTAAATAAAATGATATAATTAGAATATTTATTAGAATCAACAGATTTCATATTCTCATTATGAATTAAATTTAATTCAATAATTAACTGATCACATATTATGTTTATTATGCAATGATAAAATAATTAACAAATAATTACTTTATTTATTGAATTAAATTTCATCATTCTTTTATAATCTTCTTATTTAATAATCTTATTAATATATAACAATATAATTAAATATAATAATTCATTCTTCTTTTATTATTCTTATTGCTTTAATATGTTTAATATTTTAATAAATGTTAATGAATTTAAATATTTTTATTAAATTATTGTATTATTTTATATTCATAATAAAATGAATATTGATATTGTTTTATTATTTAATACTTCTTTTTATTATTAATAATACTTTGATTTAATTAAATGTAGTAAATAAATGGAAATAATAAGAAATAAATTAAATGAACATTGTGTATTTAAATGAATAAATTTTAATTGAAACCAATTAAAAATAGAATAAAATTATTATCATATATTATTATTCACATTATTATATTATACTATTATCTCTTGTCACTATTACTATCTCTATCTATGTATTTTAATTATATTATGATTATTAAATTTATTTTGATTATATTTAGATACTTGTCATATTTATTATCACTTAATTTATAAATTCACTTTGAAATAGTGAAGAATTAGTTATAATTTATATTCATTGAATAAAATCAAATATAATTACTAAACCATGAAAAATGAAAGAAAAAAGAGGAACAGAAATAAAAAGAAAGAATGATATGAAAGAAAAAAGTGAAATTATGAAGTAGAAGAAGATGAAAAGAATAAAAGTAAAAAGTTGAGAATATAAAAAAGAAAGAAGATAAAAGGAGTAATTCAAAAAGAGTGATGAAATAATTAGTGTATTTTTTTATTACAGAAATTAGAAATATACAATAAAAAGTGTTTAATTTATTGGTACAAAATAATTAACAATATTTTATTTATGCAAATTATTTTATTCATTTTTTGTGATTTTTATTTATGTGTATAATTTATTCACTTATTTTGGTTCTCATTTATAGATATTTGATTAATGAAATATCAAATAATTCTCAGAATTATTTAGGTTTAAATGAATAGATACAATATTAACAGAAGAATGATTTAATGTAAATAAAATAAGAAGATTAAATAACATTCATTACTAAAATGGAGTAATGACAAAAAATGTATGTAGAAAGTTCATACCATAATAATAAATTTATAATGATTGTATATTATGTAATTTTCTACTTTGTTTTGTTATTTATTCATTTCTTAATTCATAGAAACAGATTTGTTACTATTTACTAAACAGATTTCATTTTAAATAACTTCAATAAATGTTAATATTATTTATCAAAT